AGCGAGGGCGGCGTTTTTGGTACAGGCTTTTCGACGAGATTGTGCCCCACAGAGCACAATTTCAATAATTAGCTGCTATTATAATGCCCCCTCGATATTTCCATCTAATCCCGAAAATTAGCCGGATATTGTTCGTCGTGCGATCTGATGTATTGTTCACCTTCTCCTGGAATTTCAGAATTATTTATGGGGCAAAAACAGGTTTCCCGGTGATTGCTGGTTACAGTAACGCGGATTGTAGGAAAATTAAGATGAAGGAAGCCAGGGAATTACGGAAATTATCGTAAATTCAAACTACGCCCTTTACTCGAAATAATGAATATTATCCAGATGAAACACTCAATCAAAAACCAATTTTATGCAACTTACTTTTAGAAACTCTGCAAAAATAAGATGTTCAAAAACCCCGACGGTCCTCTAGGAATTTAGACAAGAATGCGTGCTGGGCTGAATTGTGCTGTGAAAAACCAGCTGACTCGTCACATTTCTGAAACAGATTTTTTCCTCAGAAATGTGGTAGATTTACGATTATCATAGAGACCTGTGGTATTTCCTGAAACATAAGATTGCCAAAATTTTGGGGGTGGAGAATTTGCTATTTTTCAACTTTTCTATAAATTCGAGCTTGGCGTAAAACCGCAATGTGTTCGATAAATGATATTTGTGTACGCTCTGGTCGCTCTCTCTCTCACAGAGCAGTGAGAGGAGGGAGAGAGAGAGAGAGCGGGAGAGGGCGAGAGAGAGATAGAGCGATAAAAGAGGCGTCAGGGACCAATTAAAGGACCTGACAAGTCTAAAAAACGGCAAAAACGTTATTGCCTTCAATGTTATCACGGCCTTCAAAAGTTTTATCATTATGTCTTTGTTTAGAAATCTGTTTCATGAAAATTGGAAGCCGATTAGGGTAAGCTTAAGATAATTCCATCCAGACTAGAATCTGTCGTACAATAATAAAACTTGATGATCTTTATTTTTAACCAATGATCGAATATTAAATTTCCCAAACTACGATATTTATTACGTAAAAAAGGAGCGTAAATTAGTGGCACTGATGCGCTGCAAAACAGCATGCAGATCTATTTTTAGAAGAACCCCTCGTATTTTTTGTATTTTTTTCGTGTGGGTGGCGGGCCAGTGTAGCGTGGGTTATATGCGGAGGATGGTAGTTTGGTGGGTGAAAATTATGACAATAATTCGGAAACCTGTCATTGTCTTCTAGAATTTATTTGAAACACCGATATTGATCAGGCCTTAAAAAAGTCCTTGAAAATTTTGCGATTTTCGGCATTTTCCATTTACTTGTTTTAAATTGGCAGACAAAAACCACAAAGAACGGTCTTGTAGAAAACGGTCTTCGGGATCCCAAAGCCCATTTCTAAACTGTTATATCTGTTCAACGAACAACTATGTAAAGGCTTTGAAACTTGTCTTTTTCAGTAATGCCCAATTCCATTTACTTTTACCCCTAAATTCCAGCTTGCTAAGAAATACCGGCACGCTGTGTGCCAATGCCGAAAAATCGATCGATGAATTTTTTATGTATTCGGTTTGTTGCTTCGATTGAGGCCCCAAATTCTTAACTCCTTATCGATCGTGATCAAAACACGTTTTTTCAATTTCGCTAGTTTTGACTTTTTTTGTATCGAAAATGCGACCAACTGTGGCGTTGAACTAGTCTCCCTATCTTAAAACCATTGGAACATCTGTTTTTTAGAATCCGCAGTGCAAGTTTCCACGCCTCATTCCAGCCCACCGAAATCCACTATTTTTAGCATTTTCCGTTTCGCGATATAGTCCTTGACCAATTGTGATATTGACTTGCGGTCTGGTTTTAGAATAAAAAGTAAAACATATTTTATTGAGGATTCAGTTTTCCCAAAATTCCCGGTTCCAGAATTTACCACTGGATATTTATCAAGGTTTTTGATTTCTTACTTTGATTTGATATAATTTTGACGGAATCGAGAGTTTTGGCAAAACCTCCTATTTCATTGTATTTAAAACATATTTTTTCAAAAAACCTGAGGCTTCTTCTACGGATCTTCCCTTTCGGATGTGAATTCGGATGACATCGAAGTTAGAAATACCATATTAAGGTTTTAATTGACCTGCTCCTATTTTTCCGTATGTAAAACATTTTTACAGAAGCCGGATATGCTGTCGATATGCGAGTGAAAAAATTTCCTACAATTAGATTTTTAAATATCTCCCCTATCTTTGCGTATTTCGAACATGTTTTTTGCGAACCCCGATTGCACTTTTTTCCGGATATTCCTGTCGATCAGAGCGTGAGAAAGGTCCTAAAATTAAGATTTTTAAATGCCTCTGCCTTAATTTCCATCTTTAAAACATCGTTTTTCAAATCCCTAGTGCTCCTTTTCCGGATATTCCATTTCCGGTCGGGCGCCCACCTCCTACAGATTTCCGGTGTTCCCCCCGCGGCATCTGAAGTGGATTTAGTCTGGGGAATTTAATGGATTTTTCGAAAGCCCCTGTTTGCGTGCTATATTTCGACAGAGATCGTGAATGGCTCCAGGGGCTATATAGCCCGAGTATATTGCTAGCGGAAAAAGAGAAGCCGAGCAGGGGGATCGGATTCTGATTGGATTATCAAGGGAGCGAGGGAGGGGGGCTTTTCTGCTGGGCCCTTTCCTGGGCCTTTTCCTGGGCCCTTTGCCCTTTTTTGGGGTGCCACTTATTTGGCGGCAATACGACCCCCCCCCCGCCACTCCTTACGCCCTCACCCGGAACAGACGATGGAAAACACCTAGAGAGATCCTAGGGATATCCCTCCCACCCAAATATCATCATCACCGAGCTGTATAGCGCTTGTGAAATATAGGGCTGATATTGTGATATGCAAAAATGGTATCGGGCCTGCAAAAATATACTGCAGCACCACGTGGGGATTACGGTAGAGGCTGATTTTCATTTCGCCGAAACTATTTTCGAAACTATATTTTGTCGAAATTTTAAAGCGCGGAAATTTCCATTTGCGCAGTGTTTGAGATGCATAATGGAGGCGAAAAAGACAGTGTTTTATATTTATTTAGTTTCGACAAAATCGAGTTTTAAGAGTTTCCGACAAAGGATGTTTCAACAAAATGGGATTTCGAACAAAATTCATCATTGGCGTCAGAAAGGTACTACTGGATACCGGGGGTTTGAAAAAGGTACTGTGGGCTTAACGGAAAATTAGCGGGAATAGTATGAATATAAAGGGTACAAGTATACAGGGTGTCCCAAAAAAAAACCCCCTCTCGGCATTTGGCCGTCTTCCATCCAATCGGGACCAAATTTTTACCAGTGATGGGGACCCATAAAAACTATGTGCAGCCGACTTTTCTAAGCAAAATATTGTAAAACAAAGAAGATATATCAAAATTAAGGTTAATTTTGCCGATTTCACTAGGATTTTGACGGATTTCGGCCTCGAAATGTTTAGCAAAAATGAAGAGGGCGCTCTTTTCTACCTGTAGAAATTTTTTGATTTACGGAAATTACGTTTAAATTAGGCCTTTCGATCACTTTTTATTATCGAAATTGCCAGAAACTGACCGAGAAATGACCATTTTTGGAAAATTACTCAAAATCCTCATGCTAATTGCGAAAACATAGCCAAAAACGAGTACCAGCGTTTCCCAAAAATCAGTTTTTTAGCGATAACTTTTTGGTTTTACAATATTTTGCTTAGAAAATTCGGCTGCACATAGTTTTTATGGGTCCCCATCACTGGTAAAAATTTGGCCCCGATCCGTTAGAAGACGGCCAAATGCCGAGGGGGGGGTGTTTTTTTTGGGACACCCTGTAGAAAAAATAAAAAGATAAAAAAATAGAACAACTAGGAAACATATAAAAATTTGGCGTTGCAGAGAAAACGTTAGATTAGCCTGAAATATCTGTTAGTGCCTCGTTTTTGTTATGAAACATATCAGCACGAACTCAAAAATGTCAGCTTTCCGGGCCCACATGGCGAGCGAGCTTTCGGCGAGCGATTATAGGATTGCGCTGACGTCTCTGAAAGGGATGCGATTGTTTGAAAGAAGCCGAAAAAACAGAGTTTGTCGATTTGCTATCTGTTTGTCGGAATTCATTTTGTCGACATTTGATTTTGTCAAAATATCAATGCGCTGAAATTTTAATTGGCAAACTGTTCGAGGTGAATAGGACCAAAAAGGCATTGAAATTTCGACAAAATGATATTTCGTCAAGATGATTTTCGACGAAATGAAAATATGCCCTTTTTGTCCTCACATCTTTTCAAAACGTCGGATATATCTATTTGTCAGTATATTAATTAACGCAAAATTCAACTCTCAAAGAGTTTTTTGGTTTTTCCAAACAGATGATCCATATGCAAACTGTTGCGTTTCCAGTGGGCCGCTATGCGGCAAATAGCGAAACATCTGTTTTTGGCATCGTTCGGATTTGCAGATCTATCAGTTTGCGTGCTATTCATCGCCCCCAAACAATCAGTTTAATCGATTTTATTCGAAATTCTATGTACAAAAACATGTGCTTCACAACGTGTTAATAACAAAAAAAATTGAAAAAAGTTTCGGTTTTCTGGCAGAAAACTCGAAAACTCATGGCACCCGTATGGCGGCAAATATTAAAACATGTACAACACTCGAAGTTTTAAAACAATAATATTGCAATTTGGGGGTGTGTTTTTTAGGTCGGGGCACTCGTAGGGGGGTTATAAAAATATGTTATACGTGACTTTCTGAAAAAAGTAAGTTTCAGAACATTTTGGTGGAAAATTCCGTTATTGGGTCTAATCCATCCTACTATCTAGAGGAAAAAATAAATTCAAATTAAGGCTCTACTCGTAAAAGTATATTTTTAACCAAAAAAAAATTGCTGTTTCAATTCTTCGGGGGAATTTGGCGTTATACATTGCCGAAAAACTTTGAAAAGTTGGGTTCAAAAAATTTCGCGGCACGCGTAGAATTCGGCCTATTCCGGGAGAAGGGCGGGAAATTGATGGCGGGAGGTCAGCAGACGGCAATGAACGTGTCTTCGTCCTGAAACATATTAAATTAATTTGATTATTTAATAATACCAATTCTATAATTTTTTTAATCCATTTAATTTCATTAAATTGTTTAATCGATGGAATTTTAAATGTTTCATCAAAAAATTATGCCGAATTAAACGGTACATAAATAATCGCTTTTTGATTTGATCCTAAATTTCCTATAAAAAAGCAAAGTAGAAAATTTATACAAAGTCAACTATATATTAAGCTAGTTTTTCGTAGGCTCTTGAATTTTTAGGCAAAATTTATATTCGACGCAACACAACTACAAAATCCAAAAGAACCAGGCTGCTCAGTTTGTTAAAAACTAAGTGTTTCATATTCGGTTAATTCAACGAAATCGAATTATGCTGGATTAATAATAAAATAATTGAATAATAATAAAATAACTTTTAGCGTCATCGGGTAATAGCAAATATGTTCTATATTTATGTATTTTGAAAATTAGCGCTCGTTTAAAAAAATTAACTAAATTTGGATTGTATGGAAAATTACCTCTTCAACAATCGTGGGCATCGGTTCGATGTGAGAGATGGTGGAAGAGAGCGAGGTTCTAAAATATTTCATTTAGAAGGTAAGCAACGCTTTATATAAGCTTAGAACTGATAAGCTAAACTAATTAAAACATTACAAAATCCTAGAAATTCTAAGAATTTTGAAATTCCTGAGGATCCGCGAAAACATGTTTCGAGATTTTCAGTGATCCGTTTGAGCCATCAAGGTTTAATTTTCCCGTGTAGGTGACGTGCTTCATAAACCTAACAATCTTTAGTTCTTTATTCCCTAAAGCTTTAACGCTTTAATTCTTCATTATATAATTCTTGAATTAACCATATTTTTTCGTCAATTCGTTTGTAGTGTCAACTAAAGTAGAAAAAGCTCTTTCTTTAAAAAAATCTGCCAATGCTAAAAAGCTAACTAAAATATGTTTCAGAAAAACGCTAATTTCTTTTTATTTTTATAGTGTTAATTCTTCTCCTGTGTGATGCTCTTACCTCTGTTTCCTGGCCCGGGCCCGTTTTGCCTCCAGCGAGCAGGCGGTCGCCTTTTCCCGGACGAGATCTGAAAATGAAGGCATATAATTTTGTATTTATATATTGCTTATTAAAAGCCTTCTAAAGGGTGTATTTTCATCAAATTACCTCATTTAATCTCTTTGGAACAAGCGCTAAATTTTTCTGGCAGATTAGCTTTTTTGACCGGTAGTGTGTTTCATAAGAATATAAGTCCCGCGGCGCCAAATTCTGGACGATAGGCGCGCGCAACTGGTTTGAAAAAATTAAATGCGATCTCCATAAAAAGATGTCTAAAGACTCGTCACGTGCCGCGTTGTGGCAAAAAAATTTATAGAGGCTCGGAATCCAAAAAACATGCCGTAGGTTGCTAAAATCCGAGTTAAAATTTGTGTTTCATAAAAGTTAAAATATAAAATTATCGAGGGCATGGTAATCTTCGTAGGTGCTTTGCGGAGCTGTCAGATTGTCTTTTCGCATTTCGTGCGGTGGCAAATGCTTTAAGGACGATTAAGCTAAAAATCATGTGCGTACATAGCTATTAGCGGATTTTTGGTTGGCAGTCGTCTGATCGAAAGACACCTGATCGAAAATCGCCTGATCGAAAATCGCCTGATCGAAAAATCGCCTGATCGAAAATCGCCTGATCGAAAATCGTCTGATCGAAAAGTCGCCTGATCGAAAAATCGCCTGATCGAAAATCGCCTGATCGAAAATCGTCTGATCGAAAAGTCGCCTGATCGAAAATCGCCTGATCGAAAATTATCGGGGCTGAAGGACCAAGCCAGGTGAAATAAAATTTTTCTTGCCCCAGCACCTGGAAGTAATTTGTCATACCATGCTTCGTGGTTAGGCTTAGACTTAGGCTTAGGCTTAGGCACCGACAACGCACTCAACCAACACTTTGGCTGCAAGCACCCGTCCAGGTGGAAATTCCTCAACTACCTTCAGAAGTTCGAGCTCGAAACCCGGGTCAAACTGAGAGAGCTCCGAGAATACGCGCATGCCCCGAAGAAACGTGACCGGACGACGCTCGACGAGCAGCAGAAAATATTCTACAACTTTGATAAGGATTTGCTTTGCTTTGCGATTGTCGATCGGGCGACTTTTCGATCAGGCGACTTTTCGATCAGACGACTTTTCGATCAGACGATTTTCGATCAGGCGATTTTCGATCAGGAGATTTTCGATCAGACGACTTTTCGATCAGACGATTTTCGATCAGGCGATTTTCGATCAGGCGATTTTTCGATCAGGTGACTGGGAATCCGGATTTTTTGTTTCATCAAGGTGAATCAAAAAAATACTTCAAAACCAGACTAGCAGTGCTAAATCTGGCAAAAATTACGTGTTTCATTCACGGACTTTTTTGTATCAGTTCAGAAATGCCTAGTAAACCAATTGCAAATATTTTAATCGAGTCTTAATAAAATTAATTATATTTAAATGGAACATTCTCTTGGAAACCTTAAAAAGGGTTTTTATTAACAGAAAGATTCGATATTTCTGTATTTTGAGAAAAATTTGTAGAGCCCTTACGTTTAGGCATAGTAAAAAATCGTTGAGTCCATAAACACTCTTTTTCAATCAAAAAATTTGGTCTAAAGGAAAAAGTTACCCCTCCCCCCGATAATGCCGAAGAACCCGATTAAAATTTCGTCCTTTTACTGTCACGCCACCTTTAAAAACGCTCGATCTTTGGCGCGCTACTGTTTTTCCGGGGATATCTCTGCTAGGGAACGAACATTAACAGGGGCCGATTTTCCGGCTGAATCATTCCACCCGTCCAGTCGAGGTCATTTCCAACTACCCGGGGTGATAAGACCGACAACCGGTTTTCCGGGTACACCTATTTACAGTTTGGTAAAAGTGGTAAGATCTTAAAGCAAATCCCCGGATTGTCGCATCGAATGGATCCGGAAACTGGAATTTTGATGAAACATCACTAAAAACGCAAAAAAATTCAGCGGAAAATCTATAATCTTTGGAAATCGTAATTCACAATCTTGTAAACTGCTTCAATAAGACCCTTCAAAAATGTTCTCAAAGACATGCCAGAATTACGTTTCAAAAGATCGAAAAAGTATAGAAATTTGAAATAGTACACTGATTACCGAATCAGATGAATCCCCGTTAAAGTTGAATGGTGAATTCTTAACTTTTCTTCTATAGGATCGACAAATTACATAATTGAAAAAATCCGGAAAATCATTTTTGCACGAAACGTTTGACAACATATAGGAAAAATGGGGCTAATCAGGACTAAAAAAATATAACGCTTAAGTTGTTTTATATTAGATAAAATTCTTTACGGGGGTAAATACCTGCCAAATCACGAATTGTAATTAAAGGCATTTAATTTCCTTTGTAAATTCAACTGAAGGTACGTCGCATTATTTAAGCGCCGTAAATGGTAATCCGAACGTCGGGTCCTACTATATAAAAATTGAGAGGAAATTCAGTAGTTATCAAACAAGATTATTTATATCACAAAATAAACAGAAAGTGGATAATTTTTATAAAATTCCTTTATTAAAGTTTAACCGTTCGCGCACCTCTGTTTAGTCCCATAAACTTAATTATTCATCAAAATCCGGCTCCGAACAAGCTCTGTGGCTGTAACACATATTTTTATAGCGCCCAAAAATCCAACCTTTTGGTCCCTAGCCGCGAAAAATTGCACGCGAATTCACGGGCTCTAGTGAGTTGGTCCACTCGTTTCCCGTATATAGCCATTGTTCCTTTTCGGAGGGTGAAGAAAACGGGCGGCTTCCTATTGTTATGAGAGGAAGTGAGAGAGTGAGAGGGGGCAGAGAAAGATATGTTTGAAAGGATCGTCACCCAATTATAAAATTCGAAAATTCGGCCTCATGAATTTTAAATGAAACATTAATTTTTATTTTGGAAAAAGCTGCAACAGAAAAGAGAGACCGAGCGAGTGAGAGCGAGAAAGTAAGAAAGAGAGAGAGAGAGAGAGAGAGAGAGAGATAGAGAGAAAGATAAAGAGAGAAAGAGACAGAGAGTGAGTGAGAGAGACAGAGGCGGAAGAGACACAGAGAGAGCGAGAGAGAGTGAGAGTGAGAGAGAGAGAGAGAGAGAGAGAGAGAGAGAGAGAAAGACTCTTTGCATGAAATTTAAATGTTTGAGGAAGAGGGATCTTTAACAGCTATTTTGTAATGCTATTACATTAATCATGAATAATAATTCTTAATTTTTAATTCTTAATTCCTCTTAATTTTTAATGTTTCAGATTTACTTAATCCCAGTTTTCCTCAGACCCCTCAAAAAAATCCCGGAGGTGCGCCCGCCCGGATGAGGGGTGAAAACGTGTTTTTGTCTGTTTGTGGGGGGAGGGGGGGTGAGTCCGAGAATTTGAGGAGGAGAAGAAGCTTGTCTCGTGCAACCAGCGGTCGGGAAAAGCCCGTCTTTTTTTTGAAAAACTTTTCAGAATCGCCCGGTCAAGTGTCGCCTCGATGAGACGACACGCCCGACAAGTCAGGAGTGGGCAAATTGGTGGTCTACTGTAGTTAGCTACTGTAAATTGATTAAAAAGATTTAGAAAGATTAATTATTCGATTAAAAAGTTCTATAATCTTTATTTTGTAAATATAAAATCTTGGTTTCGCAGACTTTTTGAAAAACAAATAAAAAATCGGTCGGAATGGTCGGGGCCAACTAAATTCCGTTTTGAAATCGAAAATCTAAATTTTTAAAATTCGACTGTGTAGATCAAGATTTTAGCTGGTTTATTTTTAACGGATTAATTAAGTTTCTCTTAAAATAAGTAGAATTTAGCAATTAACGCAGAACACACTTTCGACTTCTACTGATCCTATGTTTCAAATTCTTGCCACTATCCTTGGCGAAGAATTGAGATAATTCCCGGAACACTTGTCAGGCAAAAAACCCCTACATTTTTCCTGCTCAATCCAAACGTCCTCGAGATCGTCGCGAAACCCCTTGAAAAAATGGCTGCCCCGTTTATTGGTAGTAAACCGGTTGATAAGTGGAGTGTCGAGTGGCGCGTTGAGGGTATGCAAATTTTAGCAATTTTGACGAGAGAAGAGGCGAGAGAAACTTTGAAGTTTTGATGGTTCAGACAATTATACAAATTAAAAAATAGTAAAATGATAATATGCAATGAATTGTAATAGCAATAAAATATTGTGGCATGGTTCCAGCAAGACTATCGCCAAATTTCAGGCAAAAATGGCATGTTTTAAAACATATTTATGATCCCGAAAACAGCGTCTCAATGCTAAGTGATTCAATGATAAAAAATAAATGCCATTCAATTCTTGAAAACGTACTGCTTGTTATGAGAATTGCAGAAAAGGCTTTTTGATAAGTATGATTTAGTTTTGATAAGTTTAAGACAGAAAGTTTGTTTCAATAAATGTGAAACTTCCGCGGCTGGGCGTCCGGCTATTCCGTCCGCCGAGATTGCGATATTGCACTTCATTCAAAAGGTTCACAGAAATGTATTTAACAATACTGCCGAAGCCCTTCTTAATGGAAAAATACCGATTCCATGGAACTCGCAATGCTCTGATTTTCTCGCATTGGCTTATTTCTGACGCGACTTCACAGATTATGATGTTTCATCAAAATTGGAAATTATGCCGAAATGAAATAACCTAATCTACAGCTCTGCAGAACCAAGCAATTTACTTTCCGATTCTACCCAAAATTATATTAGAAAAATACGGATTATTTCCTGATTGAGTTTTAATTTTTGGACGCACGGCTTTTCTACATGCGCTGCCGATCTGATGTTTCACCAAGTGTCATGGTCAGAACAAAATTTTTGAAGGGAAATTTCCATTGGCGCTTGCTTTGGAGTATACATGGGCGGTCACCCCGGAGGGTCACCCTGGGGGTGACCGCCGCTCACCCCCCTGGGGGTGATTGCAATGGCACCCTGGGGTGACCCTCCGGGTGACAACCTGGTCACCCTATAGATGCAAAGTGCTGCATTCAAATAAATTTCTATGGCAAGATGCCGGTGTTTTGCCGCACATACCATACATTTTTCATTTTAATCGAGTA